AGGTTGAGAACGTTCCGCTGGCACCTCAAGAAGGTAATGAAACAGGACTGGGAGAGGATGAGACACTCCCCACCTCTCATCAATGCTCTTCCTGTGCCTTATTCCTGTCCTCTGGAGTATTCTCATTTCCTCTGCTTTCCTGTCTCACTCACATGGTGCGCAGATGCTTGTCTGATTTGCCATTTCTCTCTTAAATATAACCTGCGGGTGGAGGCTGACAGTCCACCCACTGCGCCAGTCGGTTATGATCACTGAGCAATGAATTGCACAAATCGCTTCCAGGAGACTTTTTGGGCCACAGAAGAGAGGATTAGAGTCAGAACTGTGCTTACACTGGCCAGTGGGGTCTCTGCTTTGGCCCACAACTCAGGGACCCCCTCACACCTGCAGCACCAAGTCTCCTGGGTCCCCTGCATGACTGGATCCTCCAAGATCTGCAGTGCCTGGATGGAGGCCTCATGGACTCCCACCCTGTATCTCCCCTTTGAGGCTTTCTCTGACCCTCTGCCTCCCTCCCTGCACAAATTGCATATATATATATTTCATCATTTATTCACTCAAAATTTTGCTAAGTCATAATTATGTATCAGGCTACACATTGGTGTTATCAATTTAAGGGTGAAGACGAGGTCTGTGCTTTCATGGTATTTAGAGCCTAGATTAACTCACTTTTGTGTTGGTAGCACATAAAGGTGTGTGCTTCTCATAATGAACCATACAATAACAGCTTGATGTGAGTAAGAAGATTGGTGGTTTCCAGGTGTTTGGGTGGGGGGTGATGGAACTGTTCTGTGTCCTGTTTGTGATCATGATTAGGTGAAAAGAACAGAATCTGTATCATCAAAAATTGGTGAGTCAATTCTAGCACCAAAAAAGAGACTATTTTAGATATAGAAAGTTTGATACAAATCTCATGTCATGTCAAAGACAAAACAGAAGACTAGAGACACTTAGAAGTAAAAGTGAAGTAACTGAGAGAAAGAACTATGGAAATAGAAAGGCAGAAACACATAGATAGAAAAAGCAACAACATAAACGGAAAATAAAAATCAGAATAGCAGTAATTTAGCCACATAGACCAATAATCACCCTAAAGGTGAACAGACTGAATTTAGCAATCGAAAGACACAGTGTGGTTGGAAGGATTAAAAAGTTAGATCCATTTATATTATGCAAACAAGAAATTTTAAGACAAATAGACACAGTGAAAAGCTGGAGCAAGGGATTTCTGGTTGTTTAGAGAACAAAATCAGAATCTGCTATTTTAATATCTGGTAAGTTAAATTGTTTGTGAAAAAGATAATAATTGACAATGATGGACACTATATAATGACCAAAGGGGTGTTCCAATAAGAAGATATAACTGGCATCATATTTATGAACACAGCATATTTGCAGCTGATACAGAAAACACTTGTGAACAAAACTAAACAAGACCATGATAGCAGTACTGATAGTGGGGTCCCTGACACAGCACTTATGACAGAGGACAGATCAGAAAGCAATAAAGAAATAATGGCTTTAGATGAAATAATAGATGAAATATTAGAAATGAATACATTACGCACATGTAGCATCCTCAAGGACAGTTCCCATGTAGGGATATAAAACAAACCTTAATAATGGAAAATGGAAATCATATAAAGTATCTTTTCTAACCACAAGACTATGAACTTAGAAATCAACCACAAAAAGAAAATTGTAAAAGACTCAAATATGTGCTGACTAAAATTAACACCTTAGAGTAACTCTTGGGTCAGGGCAGAGGATAATTGGCAACCAATGAAAAGAAGAGAGCAGCTCTCAGATCCTGCAGGATGCAAAGTGACATTGAAAGGGCGGGTCACAGCAATACAGACTCACAACAATAAATAAGAAAAGTCTCAAGTAAACAATCTGTCCTTGTATTGGAAGGAACCAGGAAAAGAAAAAATGAAACCAAAAGTCCGTAGAAGAAAGGAAACAATAAAAACAGAATAGAAATCAAGTAAAAATATACAAAAGATAATGCAAGAGATCAATGAAAACAAGATAAGCAAATTGACAACCCTCTCCTCAGCTCACTAAGAGAAAACCCTAATAAAAAGAGTCAGAGGGCCTCCCCGGTGGCGCAGCGGTTGAGCGCTGGGTTGTGAAGCTGCCCGCAGCCTCTGAAGCGCCGGTTCGATCCCCGGCTGCTCCCCGGCCACTGGCGGAGGGTCCCACATGGCGCGCAGACCTCTCCTGCCGCCCGCTGCTCCCCTCAGCAGTGTACTTCGGTCCTTCTGCCTGCTCTGTTCCCTGCTCTGGCTCTGGTGAATTCTCTTACCCTCCCGCGCTTCTGACTGTACCCAGTGCTTGTATAAATAAATCTTAAAAAAAAAATTTTTTTTTAAAAGAATCAGAAATGAAAGAGGTGGAGTCACAACAGATATTGCAGAAATACAGAGACTAACTGTATTTCAATACAATCATATGAGACTAATGTGAGCATCATGATGCAAACGAATAGACAGCAAAGACAATATAGACACACAAGACTCAGCCAGGACAGTATAGACAGCTTGAACAGACCACCCCAATACAGAGGGGAATAAGTAATCAAATCTCCATAAGAACAAAAGCTGAGGCCCAGATGGATTTGTTACAGTATGTGTCAACTCTCTGGAGGGGTTGATGCCAGCGGGAAGGTACTGTCTGGGCCATGGCAATGGGCTCCATTTTCCCCCACATCCACCTTTATGCCACCAAACCTCAGTTTATTGGATTACATCTCCTAGCAGGCCTGAACTTCCAGCAGGGGGCAGATGGAGAAAAGGAAGGAGCAAGGCAGATATGTGTTGGTGTGGTATGGAGAGGAAGACAGACATGTGAGGGGCTGCTCTTGGTTCTTGGTTTTGGTAAATTTAGCAACTTGCCAGGTGGGCAGGGCACAACTGACATCCTGACCTTTTGTGGATTATCCACTTTGGATAGAACATTATAAATTTCAGGTCACTCTTCTCCCATCCTCCTGAGCCATGACTAGCCTATTTTTTTTTTTTCCTGCCAGGAGGTATTTTGGAATTATTCTCTGGCTCATCTGTGCACTTGACCTGTTTGCCCTGATATTTGTGCACAAGGATTTGGGTGATATCAGTGTTTGATTGGGAGTATCCTGCCTCCTCTTCTGAACATTATCTTTTTTTAACAAAAGCACTGGATCAAATCATATTTGCTTTCAAGTAGATACAAATTTGAACAAGTTACCACACAATTTAAGATTTAACTCCTGAAAAGGGTGAGTATCCTGATGTGTGGGCTAGCAGCACGGTCCCCAGAGCAGAGACTCCAGAGTGTCCATGACTGAGGTTTCTCTCCTGGTGTGCACTGACCCCACCAGGACAGGTGCCCTCCCCTCTGCGAGGGTCCCCTACTCAGAGCATGCTCCATCCCACAGGCTCTCTGGTGTGCAGGGCTGCGCCTGGATCAGCATCCTTCATACCGCTGGATCCCCAGATGGAGACGCCCAGAATCCCAAGGTGAGCCCCAGAAAGAGAACAGATGGATATGAGACCTAGATGCAGCCAAACTCCACCTGAGTGTGTTTACACCCCCTCTACAGTGTCCCATTAGCAGGAAGGAAAATTAGGAGTTTGAAATTTGGTGGAAAAATAAGTGAAATAAAAATAATTCTGGCTAAAGGAAATAATACACCTAGACACTTGAGGTTTCCTTCACACACCCACACCCCACCCTCCTAACCAAGGAACAAATCCCCATTTCCACATCCAGGGATCCCAGCCCCTCTCACCTGCAGGCCTTCTCCTCACACAGATGCCCCCAGGCCTAGGGATTCATGTGACTAAATAAGAAAAGCACAGTTACAACATTCACAAATGCTAAAGACAAGACAAAGACAGAACTGGTTCAGCTGATTGAATGGCCTGTCTCTCTGCAGGGGCAACTGTAAACAGGGTCAAGGGAAATGAGGAAGTGGGGACAGTAGAGTCCAGTCTTCTCAGTGCCTGTAGAGAAGGGCTGCCAAGAAGGGAGCAGCGTGACCACAGGCCATAGGCTGGGTCATGGGGAAGAGGCACCAGGGAGCTCAGGGAGCAGTCAGGCCCCACAACCCAGGAGAGGAGGAAGACACAGGAATTCCCTTCTGGGGGACCCGGCAGCAAGAAGAGCAATGGCTGGGCAGCTGTGGCCCTGGCTCTGCCGAGACGAGCAGCGGGGCAGGGACAAGGCACGGGACCATCTGAGGCTCCAGAGACTCCTGTGTCAGAGGCAGGGGTGACCTCAGACCAGGGATAGGCAGCGGGTGGCACATTCTCCCCCCACACTGGTGCCCCCCAGGAGGCAACTGTTCAAGCACCCCCCTCCTCAGACGTGTATCTAGGGCACTGCAGGCCGAGGCTGCCAGTTAGAGCAGGTGCACAAGCTGGAACCCACTTGCCCTCAATCTGATTGTCTCACAGTCCTGTCTAATTCCTGCATTTGATGTCTGACTTTCCAAGAAAGATGACCCATTTTTCTGATTTAGTACTAAAATTTTTAAAGAAAATTGAAAGTGGGAATTTGGATAACTTCACAGATTCCTCCTCCCTACCCTGAAGCTGAGCAGGATCCCCTGACGTCCTACTGTTCTTCCTGGTACCAGGATTATTATACTTGTGCCTCACCTTGTGTCAGATCACCCAGTGGGACAGTGTCTCAGATTGTATCTCATTTAAAGTGTTTTAATTATTCTTTTAGTGAGATGACATTCATTTTCACACCATATGATTCTCTGTACAGGGTCACCCCTCTCTAGGTGTATGTTACCAACCACACCCCCGACCCGGACACCCACAGTCTCACAGCTCCCTTCTATCTGAAACAGCCCACACTTAAAATTCATTTTGGCTTCAAAGAACCTCTAGGAAAGGATTATCTCAGGTCACTAAAAACTAGAGTCAGACGAGAAGGCACTTGATTTCTCCCTGTGCTGCTCCCCAGAGCTCCCCTATTCCCGGCTCTCAGCCCTGCAGGGAGGCATCACACAGACAGTCCCTGGCTGGGGCGGCTTGTGGTTGCAACTGCATTTTATTGAAAGAAGCAGTGAAGTGATTAACATGGGGCCCCACACAAGTCATGTCTCACCACACCCCAAAGCCATGTGGTACAAGCTTCAGGCATGGATCCTGGTGTGAGATGGCAGAGCCCCAACCTGAGTTATTCCCATCAGGGTGAAGAGGGAAGAGCTCCTGAGAGTGGGAGCCACAAGGGTGAGGTAGTAGGAGCATCTGTGCTCCAAGCTGAGGTAGAGACATCCACGGAACCATCGTAGTGGACGGGCACAAGAGGGTCCCCCACACAGGCAATGATTATGTGTCCTTCTTTGCTGCTGGTCTGGTAGGCACAGTTGGGGTACTTGGAGCCACGAGTCAGGCGACAGTCTGTGATGTTCATTGTGGAATTGCTCTGGTGGCAGTTGGGCTGCCCATTCTTGCAGGTGATGTTTCTCTCAAGGCAAACGGCCTGGACGTCCACCAGGGACTCGTGCACAAAGGTGTTCACTGGCTTACAGCGCCCCTGTGTCATATTCCGGCGTCTCATCATCAGGTTGCAGTAGGTGGAGTTGCTTTCAGGGAAATTGCCTGGGTCCATGTGCTGCCGCTGGAACCTTTCGGCCTGAGACTCCCTCAGCCGGTTAGGCCGGGCCCCCGCCAGCACCAGCAGCACCAGGACCAGCAGTGAGAACAGGACGAGGGACTTCAGAGCCATGGTGGCCGCGCTCCCCTGGAGGCCCCACCTGGGAGAGGAAAGAGGAAGAAAAGGCGCCCCTTAGGAGAAGGACCCCACTCCCCACGCTGAGCTTGGGGTTACAGTTTCCTCTTAAGTCAGCAAGAAAGTCACCCTCTTCCTGTGAGATTTGCCAAGTAATCAGACACTATTTGTTCTCAAGACAGTTTTACCCCTGCTTGCTAGAGAAACTCCATGTCCCCTCTGTGGGTGAGCACCAAAGTGCCAAACCCTGTCAGTCCTGTCTGTGACTACTGAGGTGTTTTGATGTCAAACACATGTGTACCCCGTGCTCAACCGCCTCATTAGAGGATCCTTTTGCATAAACCATTAGCTGCTCTGACACTCAGGGTCAGGCGGACAGGCCCTGCTGTCCTCCAGCTAAAGGACACTCAACCCAGTGTCTGACACTGGCCTCAGAGAGAGACGCCACGTGCTGCAGAGAGAGGCTTGCCTTCCCCACCCTGGGCTGCTCCTTCCCCAGCCTCATGGGGTCTCTTAGCAGCTGGCAAGCTCTACCCAGCCCCCTTCACCCCCTCCACTCTGCCTGGCCCAAGCTGTCTCAGTGCTGGCCTCTCCCCTCCTGCTCCTGCCTCTCCACCCTCAAGCAGAAGCAACTCCAGAGACGCCCTGGTGGGCACTCACCTGGGCGTCTAGCTTGGTCTGTGGGAGAGGGTGGAGGCCAGTTTCTGCAATTCCAGAGTCCCTGGGGAGCCAACCTTATATAGACTACAAAGGGGTGTGGCTTCAAGAAGAGTGGGGGAGCATCAGAAGTTCAGTCCAAAGGAAAGGAGGAGGAGAATGTGAGAGGGGGAATCTGTCCAGGCTTCCCTCAGCTGGGAGGAGCCTCTCTCTCTCCCATGTGGGTCATCTGTTGGCTGGCTCACCAGGAGGAACAGGGAAGATCATACAACACAGATGCCTGAACTCCATCCTAGGCCTGGTTTTCTTGTGGAAATCATTTTTGACAAATAGCCCTTGGAGGTTAACAAAGGGCATGTAAATTGTGACCTCAGGGGAGGGAGGGAAAGAAGACCCTCTCTCTTCCTAGGAGTCCTGGAGTAACTTGAACTGGAATTCCAGGTCTCCCAATAGTAGTTTTCCTGGAGACAGAGAGGGTTGGGGAGAGAGGTGTCCAGTTGTGCCAAGCTGGAAGGCTTCCCCATTCTGGAGAACAAATGGGGAGTATCTGAGCTGGGAAGACAAGGAAGCCTCTATTTTAGCCAGGGTCTCCCCAAACCTGTCTACTTTCTGCCCACCCTTGACCCCCCACTCAGTGGCTAGAAAGTTAGCCTATGGCAATTCTTATTTACAGTGAGAACTTGTCCTGTGGGTTAGGGTTAAGTAAAGGAACAAAAGATAGACCAAAACTCCAAATTCCTTTTGGGAAAAAAAATAGAGAACATCATGTTTCTTCCTTCCTAGAAAGAGAACTGTCTTGTTAGATGACAATTTTGATATCTCTGGAGTGAGAATTATGATAATTACCCATAATCCTCTAAATTTAAGCAGTCTCAGCACAAATTCTGACGTAGCACCTTCAGAGGTGGGCAAATTACAGAACTTATATCCCTGATACTCAGTTTCATCATCTCTAATATGCGGGTGTTCCTCTGTAGCTCTTGGATTTATTATTAGGACAAAATGAGTTAAGAGAAGTTTAGAATAGTGCTTAAACTATCAATAAATGTTGTGAATCAGGTCCAGCCTTAAGAAACCAGACTCCAAGTCCTCTTGGTTCTCAGTCCTTATCTCAGTAATGGAAGAATTCAATGTAGAGACCAGTTAAGCAGAAAAGAAAGATTTATTATCAGATAAGGAGGACAGAAGAGAGCTCTGAGCAGAGAGGGGTCTGGAGGGGGGCAGCTTTAGAAAGCATGCAAATTGTAAACATTACTTGCATCCCTATTGGATACCAGCCTTTCGTAGACACAGACAGTGCACAGCAGACGCTGGCAGATAATGATGTAATGAAATATATATTCTTTTTTTTAAAAGATTTATTTATTTATGCGTACAAGAGCTGAGGTACAGGTCAGAGATGCAGGGGGTGAGAGCATTCACCGGAGACAGAGTGGGGAACAGAACAAACAGACTGAACGAAACACACTGCTGAGGGGATCAGTGGGTGAGTCAGGAAAGGTCTGCTGCGCCATGTGGTTTCTCCCTGGCCAGCCGGGGATCGAACTGGTGCTGCAGAGGCTGCGGATTGCTTCAGAGTCTGGTGCTTAACTCCTTGTGCCACCAGGGAGGCCCTGAAATATATATTCTTATAAGATACCAGCTGTCCGAAGATATCGGGCACTAGCTATCCGAGGATGAGTGAAAGTAAATATTTTTTGTTTTGATAATTTGCAGTGAAGAAAATATTTTGGTGAACGTAAGACGTAAATATTTATTTATATATATATATTATTGGATGTAAATGTTATTGAAAATATGTTGAGAAAAATAAATGATGTAATCTAGATTAAGGAAAGTATATAAACTGAGCAATCGCAGAGCACTTCGGCTTCGAGGGGAGCTCAAGGTCAGCCCGTTGCACTGCGCGACTGACAGCCGCCTCCACCCTTCGAGATCCACCGGAGAAGACCCGGAACACTGTTCACGGGCTGCGGCCACCGGGCGTCCCTGCGGAGCCAAGACCAGATTCGAGCCGCCAAGTTCAAGAGATTGAACGCCAGCTGCCGGACCTCGGGCGGCTCTTCCCCGGCGACTAAAAGTGACGTAGCGGTAAGCGACCGCTCAGGGGTGGCTCCCTTATGTCACGTTCCGATTGGCTGAGTTCCAAGATGGGTTTTTCTCTGATTGGTGTCTGAAAGGTTGCAGCAGGAGGCCCTCCCTGAATGCAAAAGCCCACCCGGAAGCCCACCTGGGGTCAGGAATGCAGAAGCCTGCCTAGAAAATTCAGACAATGAACCTCTCCTGGCCCCACAAATCTTTACCCCCCCTATAAACTTTTTCCTCCTCCGTGCAAACCCAGTTTCCCACCTGACCTCTCCTCACCCTATAGAAGCCCCCTTCCTGTCCCTGGGACCTCTCCTTTCCATTGTAGACGCCCCATATCCACCACCGGCCTTGATTCTCAGGGTAAGTCCCCTGCCTGGCCCTCCTTCTTGGGAGGCCCTCGCCTCTGGCTATCCGGCTCCTTTCCTAACTACCTGTTTTGGTCGGTTGTCTTGTAAACCGTGGGCTTACGTCAGCCGACCCCCTGTCACACCTAGGCCTGGATTTGGGGACGCCCATCCAGACTAGGTGCCTTGTTTAGGCAACAAATGAGAGTTGGAGACGTCCCCCTCGCTTGTTTGCCTGTCCTGTAGGCTAGAACCGAATCGTGGGACGCCGCGATCCTGGGTCTGTGGCCCCTGTAGGCCAGGTCAGGCTTGTGGACGTTGTGTTCCTGACACTGTGCCCCGTCGGTTGGGAAAAGGAGCCGGGTTAGCCAAGGGATCTGCCAATTCTAAGCCAAGCCCGGCCACCCCACTGGGATGCCTTCTCTCAAACCTCGGTCCTTTGGGACTGTTAGGGGGAAAAGGATGTCCTAAAGCTAATTCCATACGGGCTTTGTGGACTCCACCCCCACCCCAGGCCAAAGCCAAAGACACTGGGAACTCCAAATCCCATCACCACCAAAGAGAAGGTGGCTGGGACCTGAGGATGGGGTTAAGCAGCCAGGTTGGTATAAAGCCAGACAGGTGGGCTTTGGAGGGGTCCCCCATTTTGACTCTCCGCCAGCTCGCAGCGTCCGGCCAGCTCTGAAAGTGCTTTTTGGGTTTCCAGGTCGTCAGATCGGGTAGGATGCATTAAAGACTTTATTTCCCTATTTTCTCCCTGGAGTTGTACATTTTCCTTATTTCCTTTTCCCTTGTAAATAAACCTTTTATTAACCTTTTGTGTATCCCTGGTGGAGTATTAATAAGTCCCTTTTAAGTGCGCGGGTGAGGACCCACAGCCAGGCAACCCGCTCAATATCGGGGCTGCTCTATAACAGGCCTAAGGCCAGATATATGCCCTAAGCATCTCGTCTTTTACTGCAACACTGTGTGGCTTCGATATCAATTGGACAATGGCTCCCACTGGCCCGAGCATGGCACTTTTGACTTCTCAGTCCTTATAGACCTATACTATTTCTATCACCGCAATGGAAAATGGTCAGAGATCCCTTATGTCCAGGCCTTCTTTCTCTTGCACTCCCGTCCCTCCCTCCTTAAAACCTGTCACACTTTCCAGGCCCTTCTTGCCTGCAACACCTCAACCCAGTCTGACAAAGCTTCCTCCATGGGTTCTCTTAGCACCTCATCCTCTGACTCTCCAGCTGCCTTCACCGATCCTCCTGAAGCTCTCACTTCATCTCCTATTGCTCCCCACCCTCCTCCTTATCCCGGACAACAGGGACAACCCGATGGAACTGAAAAACCTTCGAATCCCACCCCCCTGGCTCCCTTCTCGCCCCCAAGCCACCATACTCGGTCCTTAGACCAGCCTCTTCTGTGTCCTTTGAGGGAGGTTGCAGGGGCAAAGGGCATTGTCCGTGTCCACTTTCCTTTCTCTCTCTGACCTCTCTCAAATTGAAAAACGCCTTGGATCTTTCACAAATGACCCCACAATCTTTACCAAAGAATTCCAATACCTAACTCAGGCTTATGACCTTACTTGGCATGATATCTACATTATCCTCTCTTCCACCCTAACTTCGGATGAGAGGTAACATGTTTACCGTGTTTACCCGTCTGCCCAAGACCATGCAGATCAGGTCCATTTGACTGACACAACCATGCCCCCAGGCCCTGAAGCAGTTCCCCACCAAGAGCCAGGGTGGGACTACCAGACTGACACAGACAAGGGCCACAGGGGCAGGGCTCAGGGAGACCGATTTATTACCTGTCTCCTAGCTGGTCTCCAAGCTACTGCCCATAAAAGTGTAAACTTTGATAAACTGAGGGAGATTACCCAGTCTGCCTCAGAAAACCCTGCTGCCTTCCTCAGCCGCCTTACTGAGGTACTGCAGCGCTATACCAGGCTTGACCCTCACTCGCCTGGAGGTGCCACAGTTCTGGCTACCCATTTTATATCTCAGTCAGCCCCTGACATTAGAGAACAGCTTAAGGAGGCTGAGGATGGTCCTCAAACCCCTATTCAGGATCTGCTGAATATGGCCTTTACAGTATTTAACAACCGGCAGGAACAGGACAGGGCAGAGAGGAAACTCCGTAGTCGCCAGAAGGCTGAGCTTCAAGCTCAGGCCCTAGTAGCTGCCTTGAGATCGCCAGGCCCTGCTCCTCCAATGACCACAGCGCCTGCTGCCCGACAGAGGACAACAATGGGCCCCATGGGCCCCTACCGACCGCCGCTGGGAGCCTGCTTCAAGTGTGGCCTGGAGGGCCACTGGTGCAGACAATGCCCCAACCCCTGTCCTCCACCAGGACCGTGCCCCATCTGCAACGTCCAGGGTCACTGGAAAAGTACTGTCCCACCATGCCTGGCCAAGGGATGTTTACAGCCTTTTGTTCCCAGAAGTTTTTTCACTTGTTAATGTAAGGCCAAATGTTGAATTGCTACCTTTTGGCAGAAAACTACTAATTTTATAAAAAACGTAATATTTGTATCATGCAGTGCCATTTGTCATCAAATTGGTTATTCAGTAATTGATCGGTGTTTGCAGTTTTACTTTTAAATACGTATATTTGCAATGGTAGAAACTAGCCATAAACAAATGAGGAGAATCTAGCAGGATAACAAGATACCTGACTTTTCAGGAATCTGCCCCATGCCCGGACCTTTGTCAGACGACATGAGTAGCGTGGTTCCCCATAGTTTCTTTACCATCCCTCTGGATCCTCAGTGTTACTTCCTATTTGTTTTTACTTGGGAAGATCCGGACACACACACCTCCCAGCAACTGGCCTGGACAGTTCTGCCTCATGATTTCTGGGACAGCCCTCATTTGTTTGGTCAAGCATTAGCTAGTGATCTCTTGTCGTGTAATATTCAACCCAGCACTCTCCTTCAGTATGTTGCTGACCTCCTCTGCAGTTCTCTCTGCCACAATCTCAACAACTGCACAATTCCTCAATTTCCTGTGCTCAAAAGGATACCGTGTCTTCCCATCCAAAGCCCAACTTTCAGTTCCCACAGTCTATCTGGGTCTTCGACTAACTCCTTCCTCCAAACAGCTGACAGTCGACCACAAACAGGCCATCAGGGATCTTCCTTCCCCTGAATCGGCAGAACAAATCCTTTCCTTCCTAGGTTTGGTCGGATTCTACCATCACTGGATCCCTAATTTTGCTTTCCTAGCCAAACCACTGTATGATGCAGCAAAAGCCTCCCCCGTAAGACCTCTCCAATCCCCCGGGGAGGTCTGCCGGGCCTTCCTTTTACTCAGAAATATCCTTTTTAAGGCACCTGCCCTTGCCCTTCCTGATCCAGAAAAGCCTTTCTTCCTGTTCACAGATGAACGTCGGGGTATTGTGGCAGGTGTCCTTTCCCAACCTTTGAGCCCAGCCCTGAGTCCTATCACTTATCTTTCCAAACAGATGGATCCCACCGTTAGGGGCTGGCAGCCTTGCCTTAGAGCCTTGGCAGTGGCAGCTCTACTCACCCAGGAATCCCTCAAACTTATTCTGGGAAGACCTGTCCAAGCACATTCCTCCCACCGCCTTCAGGACCTCCTGTCTCACCACTAGCTCTCCATTCTTTCTCCTTCCCGTTTTCAACATCTCCATATGCTCTTTATCAAAAACCCTCTGGCGAGTCATAGTCAAATTCTCTCAACCCAGGCACTCTTCTGCCTGTCTCTGGCCCCGCTTCTGTCGCCCATTTGTGTCCTGAAATCCCGGACGAAAGCCTCCAGACTGGGTTTGGCTGACTCCCCTTTGTCAGATGCCTACTAGATGCTGTTTGTGGACAGCGGCTCTTGTGTCGATGCGCGAGGTCAGTGGAGGGCTGCCTATGCCATTGTTACCATCAATCGGGTAATTGAAGCAGAAAAGCTGCCCAGAGGAATTACCTCCCAAAAGGCAGAACTCATAGCACTTACCGGGGCCCTTAACCTCAGCAAACATAAGAAAGTCAACATCTATACGGATTCAAAATATGCCTTCCTTATGGCTCACAGTCATGCTGCAATTTGGCAGGAAAGGGGGTTCCTTTCCACCAAGGGGTCCCCCATCATGAACGCTAAACTTATCCTTAAGCTTTTAGTGGCCTTGCAGCTTCCAACTGAAGTTGCCATTATCCACTGTAAAGAACACCAAACTGACAATTCTTACATTACCACAGGGAATAACAGGGCTGATGCAGCAACAAGGGCTCTCACAACTGACTCTGCTGCAGACCCTGCCCCTATTCTCTCTCTATCTGTCCCCTCCATCACTCTGACTTCTGAGCCTAATGAACGCCAATTCCTGAGTCCACTCTTCTTCCACCCCTCCTTGAGTGCAAAAGTCTGGCAGATATGTTACCGTCGTCAAACCTGTGCTTGCCTGTCACCTCAAGGGGGAGTTCACCCACCTTTTTCTTTTGCAGTTCACCAACTGCATGGACACTTATCCAGACAGGATTGATCTCTCTCTACTCAGGCAACTGCTCCGGGGACACACAGACCAGTACTTACCCAGTCCTGCCTCAGATCTCGACCTCCTCAACTGACCTTCCCCACCACTGTATCCGGAAGACCAAGTTCTGCTCAAATCACTTCAGCCAAAGCCACTGCAGCCTCCGTGGACCGGTCCGCACATGGTCATTTTCACCACGCCTACAGCAGTAAAACTTCTGGGAGACCCCCTCCTGGCACCATCTATCAGAAGACAAACAATATGTATGTGCCCCAGAAGACAAACAGTATGTATGTCATAACCTGGGTCCTACTAGGATGCACATTTCTTATCAAAATCTCCCCTAGCTCAGTATCCTATGTATGGAAATTCAAAGTTAGGGAGACCTTTGTCTCAAGATCCACTGAGACTACCCTCTTGGTGGGTACTGCGGAGTGTCCACAGGCCAGATGCACAGCACCTATCACTCTCACCCTAACTCACTCGTCGATTACTAACCCTATGAACACCTTGTTTTGTTTCTTTTACGATCAAACCCTAGATTACTGCAAGAATACCTACAAAGAATATGGGGGGGTGCCTTTACCAGTCATTTACAGTGCACCTTCCAGACAAAGGCCGAATGTTCTCTCCGGTCCATCATAATACGGGTTTCAATATGAATCAAGTTAACTATACTATTTCAGATCCTTGGGACCAACGTTGGGTATAGGGAGTCCAAGCCGCAGTGTACACTGGCTGGCATTCCTACCCAGTGGCAACATTGTCCATCTCAAGGGAATATGTCTTGACACAAAATGCCACAGTCCAAGTCTCCCAGGACATCCTCCATTTGGAGCAAGTCCTACAAAATCAGCTAACATCATCAGAAAAGACCGAGACACCCTCAACCTGGATTCATATAATCCAAAACGCTATAACCTTCCTAAATGACTCTTTTGGGACTAATACCTCCTCTTGTTTCCTCTGTGCTTCCCTTCAGAGGCCTCTACTGGCAGCAGTTCCAATTAATCTTAATACCATTACAACCAAGATAACGGACCCTGCTTGCCAGACTCCCTAACTCTCAGTCCCCCTATGGGACTCCAATCACAGCTACCCCTGCTATCAAACTGATGCCCTTGTCAGCCTTCATTCTTGGACTTCTAACAATTCGGTTAGCGAATAGATACCTCCTTAGAAAAAACCTATGTGTCTTTAGCATCATTATAAAGACAGCTCACCTCCCTGGCACAGGTCACTCTCCAAAACCGGCAGGCTCTGGCCTTGTTAACGGCTGATAAGGGGGTTACCTGCCTGCTCCTCAGGGAAGAATGTTGTTACTATATCAATGAGTCTGGGATTGTAGAACAAAATGTGGAAGCCTTAATGAAACTACGCAAAGACATGGAAAGGGAAAGAGGGGGCTCCAACTCTCTGCTAACATGGTTTCAAAATCCTATAGTGTCACGGCTCCTCCCACTCTTGGGGCCAATACCAATGATTACCTTATTTTTTTCTTTTTGCTCCTTGCCTCCTAAAATTCATACAGGCATTCATTCAGGAAATGTCTCCTACCACCTCTAACCAACTCCTTCTCCACCCATATTCTCGCATCCCTGCAGAAGACCATCATAACCAGGCCTGAGCCACCCCCTTGGTCTTCGTGCCGCCTTCCAGCAGGAAGTAGCCAAAGAAAGAGCCATCGCCCCTTTTCCTATCAACAAAAGGCTGGTATGAAGGTCGATGCAGGAGGCCTTGCCAGAATGCAAAAGCCCACCAAGAAGCCCACCTGGGGACAGGAATGCGGACGCCTGCCTAGAAAAATCAGACAATGAACCTCTCCTTGCCCCACAAATCTTTTCATCCCCACAAATCTTTTCACCCCCTACAAACTTTCCCCCCTGCCCCCGCCATGCAAACCCAGTTTCCCACCAGACCTCTCCTTACCCTATAAAAGCCTGCTTCCCCCTGGCAACGTTCGTGACTTTACTGACCCCCACCTAATTCTGCCTGGGGTGCAATAAATTTTCCCTTCCTTTGAGAAAGTTTAGCCTGGCTCTTCTCTACCACGCTGCAAACGTTTCAGTTTCAATCATTCCTCATCTATTGGGGCTCAGGTTTCCTGGGCCTGATGAGTCTGGTTCCCGGAATGTGCCAACAGTGTTCCTCCTAGCCAACACAGGTGTTTGCTCTTGGGGTGGGCCAAGCTGTGGAATTTCCTGTCTGCTGGAGTCCCCTTGACCTGATGGTGTCTGTTGCTGAAATGGCAAGCAGTACTTGCTCCAGAAGTGGGCTCAAACTCGGCACAGATTTCACTTTCCCAGTGTGGCACTGCCATGGGAGTGAACCCACCAGTGCCATCCACAGCCTGTTCTCCAGTATCCTGTCTCCATCGATGGCCTCCAAACCCTATCATTGTTTTTGTCCACTCCATGGACAGAATAAATCCCCAAATCTTATTCCCCCCAAGTATGAACACTGGGTCTTTTTTTTTTTTTTTTTTTTTTTTGATAACCAGTGATTAGTTCTCATCCATATAGCTCACAAATTCTGAGGATCTCCAGCATCACCTTCTACTCCCAACAGTCAAGTTGACTTCCATTCCTTTCCACAAATGTCCTCTTATCTGCCTTCTTGGTTCACACAAGAGGACACTATGCTCAGGAGATACATTTCCTCACAAAACTGCTCAGTTTTTTTTCATCTTCAGGAAATAATTAGGGCAAAATCCAAAGGCCCAGCCTTGATGCTCAAATTCTTAGAAACCAGGACTGTATTGACAGATGTATTTAAGACTTGTCAAGATTCAAAATATGTTAATTTATTTATAAGACCTTTCTTTCACATGATAAGGCTCTCTAGATCCAGACAACTGATGGATTCCTTTGGTGACCAAATCTAATTAGTTGGGGCAGTTCCCTTCAGTGCCTCATGATCAACCATCAAGTCTATTACAAAAAAAGAGAAGAAATGGGCATTAAATATTTAGTAACATGTTACTATCTAGACATATCTTTCCCAAGGTAGAAGCAGCTAATGATGCCAGCAATATATTATTATGTATTATTGTTTTAGAAGAAAGACCAAGACAAATCAGTAAGATACCAAAGAAAATGGCTGGGAAATTTAAATACAAAAAAAAAAAAAAAAAAAAAAACTACTATAGCATTATCTTTAAGTGATATTTTTAAGTAGGGGAAGTCAGATTAACTTAAAATTTTTAGAGTTATAGTAAGATTTTGGAAATAGAAATAAATGTGTAGGTGTTTGTAAATAGGTCTACATTTGAAGTAGTTATATATAAATTAGGCAATAGTGTTTGACAGGAAGATTAATAGACACACACACATACACAAACCTAACGAGACTATGTTATAAAGATAACATTTTTTGGAAATTGCTAATGTTTCAAAGCAAACTGGATGAGGACAGCAACATAAAATGCTTGCTGACAGAGAGCTTATAATACAATATAATTACATTTGTCTTGGTGAATTACTATAAATTTTGGCCCCCAGTCCCCAAGTTTGTTGACTCAAAGGTCAACTCTTTTTCAGAAGAAAAAAAGCAAGTAAAAGCAGAATCATTAATTACCCATATGTAAACCAAAAACCAAATTGCCACACTGCCTGAAATACAGATGTCAGCTTGACCAATATAATCTAAAGAGGACAGAATTTAACTTAATTGTCTGGTGGGCACAGAATTTGAGAAAAAGGAGTGGACTGAACAATTGAAATGTTGATGGACATCAGGTAGTAAGAGGGAACTACGGGTGAAATATATATTTGGGTGAAGGCACAGCATTCAGTGTACTCAGGCAATTCTGCTACTTTGGGTCTCTGTTTTCACATTTAATTACTGGCACTCCTTGCTGTACCCTGATATGACTCATACATTTTAAATGTTTCTAGCAAAGGTTTCTTTAAAAGTTTAGGCTAAAATTTAGACAATACAGCAGCGTTGCTGGTAATCCGCTATAGAGCAGCTCATATGGATTCATGTCTGAATCCCTCAGAATAGGTAAAGCAATGAACATAAAGCCAAGAATCTTTCACCAAATATTTTATATAACTCCAGTGCACAAGACTTACAGCACTGAAACCTGTTCATCAGAGAATCAAGAACCAAGATATGGGTTGGAGGTGCCCCCTGCCCCATCTGACACTGACTGCTCCCCTGCTTTGGTGCCCACTGGGAGATGATAGCAGGGCTTGGTGGAGACAGTTGTACCTCCCTGGCTCCCCCAGGTCTTCACCTGGTATCTATCAGGTGATGTCAGCTCCATAAACATCAGTCGATTCATACTTCTGGGATAAGACATCCACACATCACCAGTGACCATGTTAATTACTTTTTGAAAGCAAAAAATGCTTTTTGACTCTATTACCACTGGAGACAGAAAGTCAGCACTAAATGGGTCTGCATAACAAGGCTTGATAAAATAACCCTTATCTTCATTAGTTTCCCCCAACAATTTATCATTCCTAAGAACCCAAGCCCCGTTCATTATCTTATCACTTCCCCACAACTTATTGCCCTTTTGTTAAGGTGGTATATAAAAGAGCCCCAGGGCCTCCCCTGGTGGTGCAGAGGTTGAGTGCTGGGCTGCGAAGCTGCCCGCAGCCTCTGCAGCACCGGTTGGTTCGATCCCTGGCCACCAGCGAGAGTCCCACATGGTGCGTGGACCTCTCCTGCAGCCCACTGCTCCCCTCAGCAGTGTACTTCGGTCCTTCTGCCTGCTCTGCTCCCTGCTCTGTCTCTAGTGAATTCTCTCACCCTCCCGCGCTTCTGACTGTACCCAGTGCTTGTATAAATAAATAAATAAATCTTTAAAAATTAAAATTAAAAAAAAATAAATAAAAGAGCCCTAATTTCTAACCACCCCTTTGTGTTACTCATCATTGTGTTCTTTAATGGCTATGAGAATTGCAAATGTAAATAAACTGTTTGTTCTCTTTTTAATCTTAAATAAATGCTTTTTGAAAGTTGTGATATTTGTTTGTTGAGTATTATAAAATGTTCATGATCTAGGATCCGCTGACTTCAAACACTGGATTTTACCTGGAAATAAACCCAATCAGAAAATGTTAAATGCACAAGATGATCTTTGACACTGAAATTATAATAGCCTAAAATCCCAATAAAGAAGAATAACCACTACATCTGTTCTAGTTTAAAATGCACATTTATTCATTTTAACATTACAATTAGTGGTATGTCATAGTTTAGTTGAAGATAGTGCTTTTCTTCTGCTGTGGAATATAACACATTGGTACATTTTAAAATCAATAGCATCTTAGATTCTTAGCATCAATAAGATGTATCAATTTTATGACATCAGATCATGCAACTAGTAAATTAAAAATTAAGGAGATTGCATAATGATTAAAATGTTTAATTTATGTTAATAACCGCTCATCTAAAATAGAACACAAGGGCCTCCCCGGTGGCGCAGCGGTTGAGCGCTGGGTTGCGAAGCTGCCCGCAGCCTCTGCAGCGCCAGTTCAATCCCCAGCTGCTCCCCAGTCACCTGAGGAGGGTCCCACATGGCGCGCAGACCTCTCCTGCCGCCCGCTGCTCCCCTCAGCAGTGTACTTAGGTCCTTCTGCCTGCTCTGCTCCGCTCTGGCTCTGGTGAATTCTCTCACCCTCCCGCGCTTCTGACTGTACCCAGTGCTTGTATAAATAAATAAATAAATCTTTAAAAAAATAAATAAATAAAAAATAATCAAGGGGAAAAAAATAAAATAAAATAGAACACAAAATCGAATGTATAGCAGTTGCAATTATGCAAAACAAAAATTCACAAACTGGGCCAATGGACAGAGTAAAAGAGATCACAAACTAGAAAACAATTGTGGAACGTATGGAGATTTCAAGGTATTTTTTAAATTGGCATAATAAAATGTTTTATTTATTTTAAAGATTTATTTATTTATTTTATACAAGTCCTGGGTACAGTCAGAGAGTGGGAGGGAGAGAATTCACCAGAACAGGGAGCAGAACAGACAGACTGATGAAGTACACTGCTGAGGGGAGCAGCGGGCGTGGCAGGAGAGGTCTGTGCACCATGTGGGACCCTTGTCGGAGGCCAGGGATCGAACCAGCGCTGCAGAGAATGTGGGCAGCTTCGCAGCCCAGTGCTCAACCACTGTGCCACCAGCGGAGGCCCAATAAAATGTTTTAAAAACAAAAACATGTTAAAGCAAGCAAAATCCAAAACCCAAGATGTGTGAATAGACCATATGAGAGGAGACTTAACATGCTATAATTAAATTGTCCAGGACCATGAAGGAATTAAAATAAAATGACTTTAAGATGAAAACATCTGAATAGTCAGCAGGCACTGAAGCAACATGATCTAAACTTAAGCAGATGCTCCCAAAACTGCAGGACACTGACTGGCATAGGAGGGCAATTCACTTGGGCAGAAGACTGACCCATAACATGGGAAATGCAAATTTAGCCACCCTCCAGCATCAAAAAGCACAATAGACTCTGCCATACTTTCCCATAGGAGCCCAGTATGGACCAATTTTTTATTTAATTGGTCCACAAACCTTTTTCTGTGAGTTATTGTTACTGAGTGACTTTTGCATGTATGTGGAAATAAACTGTCTTTCCTCCTGTGAATCTGTCTGTGCAAGTCCCTGACCAAAACTAAATTGGCAGATGAAAAGATTTCCTCCAAACAACCATTAGCTTCTAGAAATCTGTATCTGCTGTACACCAGTTTGTCATGAAGAGAATAAAAAAGATTCCAGAAGACAAGATAGACCCTCAGGGTTTTAATTTCCTAAAAGGGTGTTCCTTTCCTCCCCATCTTTTTACAGTGGTTGGATTGGTCAGGGGCACAAGGGTGGGTCTTTTGGGCCAAGGTCAAGAATGTCCTAAGAATACAGAGGTTCAAGCATCAGCAGAATCCACTTCCTCTCACTGTCTGAAAAATGCTCTCCTACAGCCATTTTATGAGGCAAAGCAAAAGTGGAAACTGAAAGGAGGAGTGATTAGTGTGGGTGTCAGTCATAGTTGAAAGAGGAAGTCATCCACGGTGGGGAGAGAGATGGAAGACTCAGCTGCAGGTGTGGGGGCTCAAGTTGGGTTAGAAGAGCAGCCACATAAGGAAGGGGACAAAGATGATGATAAGAGATTAGTTATAAATGAGGGGATCTGGAAAAGGAAAGCCTTTTCTCTACATTCTGAGGTACAGTGACTGGGGGCAAGAGTGCTGTGAATTAAACAGATTAACAAGAGAAAATGCATTTATTTTTTTTTTTATATAAAGTCTCTCTCTTTTTTTTTTTTTAGTTTATTTATTTATTTATGCAAGCACTGGGTACAGTCAGAAGCACGGGAGGGTGAGAGAATTCACCAGAGCCAGAGCAGGGAACAGAACAGGCAGAGTGACACTGCTGAAGGGAGCAGCGGCGCAACAGGAGAGGTCTGTCGCACCATGTGGGACCCTCGCTGGGGGC